TATTGTTGTTATTAAAATTATTAAAAATTAGAATTAGAGATTGAATTTAATCTTATTCGTAATAAAATTTAAATAAGATTCCGATTTAAGACTTAGCTGTAAAATTTAAATCTCACCACCTTTAAATCTCGAGTTTGAGTTGAATAATAATAATTATTATTATTGTTATTAAAAAACTATTGAAAATTAGAATCAGAGATTGAATGGTAATCTTATTCGTAATAAAATTTAAATAACATTCAGATTTAAGACTTACTTCAAAATTTAAATCTCACCACCACCTCTATCTCGAGTGAGTTCGAATAAATCTATTTTTAGACCATTTAAAATATTTGGAGATAAATGAGTGAGGGAATAATATTGAGATTTATGTTCGGAAGTCTTCTCATTAATTATTTAATTTTTAAGAATAATTTTGATTATATTATTTATAATTTAATATTATTATAAGAAAATTCTGATTAGATCGAGCCTTTCCAAATGTTTTGAAGCTTCGAAAGTTTGATACTTCCACGAGAATTAAGGATCATGTTTGACTATCTCTTTGACTATTATCGACTAGTAACTTTAGTTACTATAACAAGAAGGTGTTTCGATCCTAAATAGGTTGGTTACTATAGCACCGAAGATATGTTTATTATGATGTGCTGTATTATTACTTTTTCGAAGAGAATTAAAATCACAACCAGTTTTAAATGTAAGATGTGGGATCTCACATCAGTTCGAAAGGACAACAAAACATTTTTTACAAGGGTGTAGAAACTATCTCTAACATGCATGTTTTAAAACCCTTGAGAGAAAACCTGAAAATAAAAAATAAAAAATAAAAACCTAAAGATGACAATATCTTCTGGCCATGGGTTTGGAGATGTCCACAGAACAAGGCAAAGACGGTCCAGCCTTCTTCATTCTAGTCCCCACCTCCTATATCAATCACCATTCTTGCCAAGTTTATAGACGTACCTTCCATATTTTAAGGACTAAAAAAACTCTATAATCAAGATTCAAGGTGACGAGTTTCCAAACAGTTTTTTAATATTACCATTTAAATTCGGAATAAAAATTTGAATCTACACCGACCCATTTAACCAATTGAGTTCTACACTGATGAAATTATTTTAATTAAAAAATAATTTATCAGTTAATGGAATATTTCGAAGTCAAAAGGATATATTTAACACCATACCATACATACCTAATATAATATAACACCCAAATTAACCTTATTTTAATTTTTATATTTATTTCTTTATTTGGAAAGAAATCATATTTTGTTGGTAACAAACAAAATTTTCCACTTCCTCCTCATCGGATTGGATAATAACAGCTAGATATTTATTTATTTTATTATTTATTATAAATATTTATTAATTTTCAATAATCTTTCCAAATTAATCCACATTATATTTTTACATAAAATATAATAAATTCCTTTTCTTTTATTTTAAAAAGAGCCACAATCCTCTGCTTTATACACCCCAAACTACATTACGCGGCAGATTTTGAGTGGCGGAAATCTAGACCACACGATAGTTATCATGTACTCGGCTTTACGTAACCGGACCTTAAAATAATATTTTATTAAGATTACAGAATCTTCTTTAGTCCAACTGTCCGCTTAGCTGACAATTTCCTCTTTAACGGCCGTTATGCCCTTTTCCCCACAAAAATATAACGGCGCCTTCGAAGCACGTGACGCCATTCAAAAGCACGTGCCACTATGTATGTGTTGATGAGGCCATGTCCATGCATGGACATACATCGAATTAATTAATTAATTATTATTTTGGAATATATTGGGTTCATAATTAATGGAATTGATGAAGGGGAAAACAATTATTTGTTTATTTATTTTTTTGAAAAATAATGAAAAGAAAGGTGAAATTACTCTTTTGCCCTCCCTTTCGTATTTTGTCTCCTAAAATTAAGAATTTTTAATTTAATATTTAAAGATTAAGGGTTTAAATGTGTGACATTTTATTCGAAATTATATGATTTAAATATTTTAAGGATGAGTTATTCTAAGTATATTTATTAATTTAATTATTTATATTTAAATAATAATTAAAATTTGAATTTCGAAGATTTCTTTTTAAATGAGCCTACAAAATTATTTAATCTGATCGTCTATTATTATTATTATTATTATTATTATTATTATTATTATTATTATTATTATTATTATTATTATTATTATTATTATTATTATTATTATTATTATTATTATTATTATCATCATCATCATCATCATCATCGAAGAGAAAAAGGCATAATATTTAAAACTTTATATTATATGATGAACAATATGAAAATTAATGTGAATTTTACAAAATTGAATAAAGCACATTGGTTGATTGGAAATAATTAAATAGGTCAAAATCAAAGTCAATTCAATTAAATTCCTCGATTATGCAAAGTTATGAGACCATTGGAATATGATGAGAATTTAAACCAAGATTTGGGGTGGTAAATGACCAAAATACCCCTAAGAGAATTCTAAGATGTTTCCAAAATCGTAAAGGACTCGAAATAATAAGGAAGTTTATATGAGACTCATTTATGATACAACGGGTAGCTGTGTGAGATCTCGAGGGGATTATGACAACTTTGAGATATGAACGGAGAGAAAAAGTACATAACTATCCTCCAGACACTTTATAAGAAATCAAGGTTCTTATGGTTACCATGTTACAAGATGTCTATGAAAGATTTATGCATGCGAAGAAATGATTATGACTTGTATGGATTAAGGCGCACTTGTTAAGAATTTTCCTATGTTGTGCTTCAAGAATTAACAAAAAACTCTTAGAGTTAGAACCCGAGATATCCTAAAGATCTCCTTATGAGGAGTGCAACATGATACTATGATGCAGACTACGTCGCAGGGAACGCATGAAGTCCTGGATATAGGTACTCATACTATGTTGTAAGGAACACATGAAGTCTTTAACATTGGTATGCAGATTGTATCGCACGAAACGCATGAAGCCTTGAATCAAGTATTAAGCTATGTCGTGGGGAACACATGAAGCCTTGAGCATAGGTCAAGATTGAGTTATTCATTAAACGTAGGACCCCACGAGTCTCTCATGGGGAGTGTCTAAGAGATAAGAATTCAAAACTCCGAACCAATGAACAAGAGATAAACATCAAGAAACAAAAATTCTCTCAAGTACAGGAGCCAAGAAAGACAGTGCTTCAAAAATTTTCTCAAAGTTTCAATCCGGTAGTTACGAGTCCACTGTGAGGTCTTTTTACGCACTAATGCCAACTTGTATAATTTTAATGAATTAGATCATCGAGGAGGCTCTTAAACTAGTTTGTAATAGTCTAAACAATTTCTAAAGGGAGTAACAGGATAAACCCTTAAGCGTCTATACAGTGAGTGTTGCACAAACCTCTCAAAGTATGAGTTTTAGATGAACAAAAATATTTCCCTTGGACACGGAATGTTATAGAATGAGGTTCCTTGCTTCATTTCATCCCACTTTAATGGTTTGAAGCCCGGGTATATTTTCTGACGGTTCCAAGCCAACATTTTGACTAATCTGGCTTGAGTCTGATATGCTCAGACCCTTTCATACTAGTTTCAATTATTCAGAAGCATTTAAGGTTAGTAGGACTGTGTTTTAGCTAGTTTAAATTATTTGGAGTCCGTCTAAATTAATTTATGCAAAATTAGGTGCGTCAATTCCCATAGTAGAATTCTAATTTGTGATTGTGGGACTTCGTAGGTAGAATTAAATTCCAGAGAACAATCTTAAGCTAAGATCAAGGGGTCGTAATAGCTTCCCCCTAGGACAATTAAGTAAGTGACTCTAGTATCGGTGCGGTCGGAAGAATTGTCTTATGTATGATGACACGTGCCAAATGGCCCTTTCACGTGTCATGTGTTTGATATGATGATATGTTATGCTGATGTGATATGTTACGATGACATGAGATGTGAGACGATATGATACGTTAGGATGATATGTCGTGTTACGATGACATGTATGTATGAGATGCCATGTTACACTATGACATGAATATACTTAACAATGAAATGTATGACATGTATGACAATGATGAATTTTTTTGATGTACAACTCCTACGTTATGTTATGAATGATGTAATGTATGAAAGCTTACACATGTATGTTACCTATGGTAATATGAGGTTGTGCCACCTCAATGATTTAAGATGAAAAGGACAGTAACCTCATGCATACCATATGTTCACATGCATCAGGATACTTCCCATTTTATAATTAGTACATACGCATACACTATGATGATGAGATGATCATCATGCTTGACATGATGCACGACGGTCATTGTAGCTCCGGGTGTCCAAGGGGTCCGAGTTCATCTAGTAGACGAGCAGGCCTAAGGGGTGTGCGAGTCCGTCTGGTGGGCCCACGCTCGCATATGTTGGTCGAGTGTAGGAAAATACTACATATATCAATTTGTCCGGACTGGCCACCTAGGAGAGTGTGCATTCTTTGACCCCAAGAGTGTACTCAAGCCATGTGCTAGTTTTATATTTCAGATAAAGGTAAGACACCACTGGTACCATGGTCGGCATGCGATCACTTTTAACCTTTCGTTCTATATAAAATTAAATATTATACATAAACATAATCTGTTTTAAACAAGAAAACCGTATGAAAATTTTAAAAATACAAACGACCAAAGTCGAGATAAAAGAATGTTTACATCCACGAAAAAAAATCCAGTACAATTAAAAAACGACGATACAAATAAAAGAATAGAACTATATCGAGTTTACATATACTTAAAGTTGAAATTTCTCGAGCTGAACATCTCTAGGCCTCAACGGCATATACTCTCCCAATAGATAGACCTCGAGGTGATCCGAGAGGGCCGACTTGTCGATATTTTCATGATGGTATGATTTGCAGACGAAATATAATACCGTCTCCGTCACCAGCTTCAATAAAAAGCAAATAAAAAATAATAAAAAGCAAAAAATTCCCAAAATACCCTTGGTAAGCACACCCAATGACTCCGTTCGAACCACCAAATTCCCAAACACAAAACGCACCGTTCCGAGAGGGAAGCTTAGAATGAGGATTATAACAATCGAAATCCCTAATTTCCCTTTCACCAGACTGTAGCTTTTGCTCATCGCTTTGAATCCGTAAGAATCTTCGAGAACGGAGACGACGTTCGAGAGCTGCCAGATCGCCGTCAGGTAGAAGGCGCCGGCGAGGTATATGATCTGGATGATGTAGAGAAGGATGATGACGCCGGCGCCGACCGAGCCGAAGATGAGGATGATGAGGAAGAAGAGGAAGGAGATGGCGAGGACGCTGGCGATTGAGTAGCCGATGAAGGAGATGAACACGCAGAGGAATGTGAGGAGGAGCCGTTTCCAGACCTTAGGAACGACGCTCATCACTGGCTTGTAGGTGACGTCGCGGCCGGTGTAGATCGACGCGACGGTGTAGACGACGGCGGAGGTGGAGAGAAGCGAGAGGATGATGAAGATAACCAGGTACGCGATTTGAAATAGAAAATAATATACCTTCTCTGATGAGACGATGTCGGAGAGTTTATCGAATGAGGCTGTACTGGTTTGCGTTTGGTCCAATACAAATTCGTCGAACATAATTTTTCGTAGGAATAGATCGGAGATCTCCATGTGAGCCAAGAACAAAAAGGAGAGGGGAAGAATCAGAGCTAGAGTGATTTGAGAGAAAATCCTTCTCCATGTGAAAATTAATTTGGCGGTTTCTCTGAAAATTCCATAGGTTCCGAGAAATTGCATCTCTTCTTGTTCGACATCCATGATTAGGTGATGAAGAAGATGGGAGAATTTGCAGAGGAACGAAGGATTTTTGGATGATGGGAAGGATTAATAAGGAAAAATTGGTCTTCTGAATGCTTTTGAATTGAGTTTGAAAAGTCTTTGTTTGGAATGGACCAAAGAAAAACAAAAGCAAAACCAATTGGCTTTAACAATAATTAATATAAAAATAGTAAACTCTTAACTATATTTATAGAGAATTACAATATAAATAGACATTTTGATTCCTCTTGTTCTTGGATTATTCCAAATGTTAATTATCTTATTTCTTGTTTAAAAAACAATCAATTTTAAATGTTTGAGAATGTTGGCAATTATTTTTGTTTCTTGCAAGGATGTTTCACATGAGTAGTGTTCATTGATTGAATTTTAGGAGGGATTTCTAAGCCGACGATTTTAGCTAGATGATCGACTCACGGTTTGCTTTGATGAGTTATATGTACCTTACGACTTATGACATTTATGTTTGCCATGATGTTATACGTGTCCTTTTCTTCCATAGTGTCCAACAACCCGTTAGCGAGTGCTAGCTCGATGAGCCAAGTCGAGGGGTACGCGAGTTCGCCTGGTAGGCCTATGTTCGCATGTGTGGACCATGTGTAAAAAAAATACTGTACATCTAACCTTGTCCAAACTTATCTGCCTAATGTCATGCTATGATGTTTTCAAATAATAAGTCTCACCATATTGCATGTACTTGCATTTCTCGATCCCCGAGTGAGATTACTTATTGAGTATTTCTTAAAATACTCACGACATGTGCTATTTTTATTTTTTTTAAGTAAAAGTAAGACACTCACTATGGAACCAGTACCAAGGTAGTCACATTTGCGTCTATTGTGTATGATCATGAGATCGTTTTATTCTTTTCTTTGTTTTATTTAACTTTCATGTTACTTATTTTTCGCTCTTTCGTTTTAAAACTTTTATTACGAACGTTTAATTTCATGGCATGGTTATGAAATATTTTAAATGTCATGCATGCGGTGGATACCTTATTTTTAATAGAAAAATTGGGTCGTTACAATTTTCATCGTTGAAATATATTTTGATTTGAGAAATTATAATACATGCTTCAGACAATGCAACTACAGGGACCTGTCTCAAGTGGGTTGGAGAACTCCGTTTAAACGAAGAATGATGGATAGAATATGGAGAAGTGTCTCTTCGTTAACTAAACAGGGTCGGGAACAGTGATTACATTCTTTGTCCCTAGCCTCGAATCTGTCCCGCCACTTTTATTTTTAAACATAAATACACACAAGTAAATAAATATAGAAATGAAATAGGTGGCTAGGATGAGCTTCCTCGCCTTTCTCCACCTCCACCTTGTGGACATCTCAAAATGGAGCTGATATGTTTACAAAATTGGTCTTTTCGTTTATTGTAACCTCGATTGCGATTTATTAGATGATGCATCGACACGTTATGTCAGATAATACATTCAAACAAACCCCACGTAATAATGATATCAAACAGCTTGCAATTTCGCAAGCTGCACATAGTCATCAACCACCTTCAACTGGACATAGTGATCCAACAGATAGCCTTGAAGATGCTCCGACAGCGCCACCTTATCAACACTCTCACAATGAAACGATTTGCACACAAAATACACCATAGTTTCCACCACAAGATTGACCAAGAACAACACCATAAACAACACCACCCAACAAATCCCCAAAATACCCCTGACCGCCACCCCGACCGACGCTGACCGAACAACCAAGTAGTAAAACACTAACTGAGCCACTCCCAATGGCAAATTCAGCAACATTGTTAACTTCACCACCATCTTCATCTTCCCCTTAAGCAAACCCTTGCTTTTTGCCATGGCTTTGAACCCACACGACGCCTCCAAAACCGACACGACGCTCGAGAGTTGCCAAATTATGGTCAAGTACCAAATGGCAGCTAAATAAAAGATGGTAAAGAAGAAAAAAATGGTTCCAATGCCGGCTAAGAAGTGATGGTCATTTGGGCCATAGATTATGATTGCTATCACAGGTATCAAAAACATCACACCAAAAGCAACAAAATTGAAGGCCAAAAAGGCTGCAAAAACACACAAGAATGTAACAAGAAGCTTCCTCCAAACTTTCGGGAGGACCCGGATCACGGTATCGAAAGAAACGTCACGTGCTGTGTAGATACAAGCAACGGTATAGACGACGGCGGAGGTGGAGAGGAGAGAGAAGATCGTCGAGAAGATTAAAGACGCTAAAGTGAAAAGAACCACATAGATTCTTTCGGAGGATACGAGGTCGGAGAGTTTAAGGAATTGGGGTGTGAATTTTTGAGTGTGTTGTAAAATCATTTTATCATGGGAGATTTTGTGAAGGAAAAAATTGGATATTTCCATGTTGGTGAAGAACAAGAGAGAGAGAGGAAGAATGAAGGCAAGAGTAATTTGGGTGAAGATTTTCCTCCATTGGTGTATCAATTTCCAAGTTTCTTGGAGAATTCCGACGATTCCGAAGAACGGTAAGTTTTCGAGTTTTAGTTCGTCCATGGCGTTTTGGAAGAAGATGAAGAAATCTTGAGAAGATTGGAAGATTTATTGGGAAGAAATTATTGGATTTGAAGCTTCGAGGAAATGAAGTGATGGTTGAATATTCGTAGGGAAAGGGATAGCTTCAAGAATTTAATTGGTGTGGAGAAAAATTGGTGAAGGATTGGAAGTACTCATCTAACTATTGACTTCTAAGTTTCCTCTCACATTCAATGTTCACATTGTTCTTATTATCATAATTGTTTAGGTCAATTATGATTACCAACTTGTGACAGTCAAGCGTTTATAGCGATGTTGCTTTTTGATCCTTCGATGTTGGATCTTCCTATCATTGTGAAGCTGAATTCATCGAGTGTTGGATTGTTCACCCACCAATAGGGAACGTGAGCTGGGTTTAAACCGTTGTGAGATAGGTTAGTTTTACCCTATTGATGATAGTGTTGTAATAGTGACCTGGTACGAGAGGAATTGTTGATTTGCACAATTGCTTACCATGTTTGGTTGAAAAGCCAGTGGAGCGAAGCTACTGTGCGCTGGATTATGACAAAATGTCTCTAGGTTAGAATCCGTGCTAGAAGTGACGCATGCCCCTATTGCTTGATTACCGACTAGCAGTAAGGGCCTTTTGGTCCCCAAAGGCACGTGTCATTGGCTAAGCCCTTGTGATAGATGAGTCTCAAGGGCCACTTTGTAGTGTAATTCCCACTGAACGATGAGTAGAATCCTTTGCAGATGACTTAAATATGCGACAGGGTATTGTAAGTGGCACAGTGGCCTTGCTACATGATTCATTGAGATTTAACCCTTCGTCGCTCTGATTCGTCCCTCCCCACACAATAAACAAATTTATTTCTTTGAAGTGTCATGAAGGTTATAGGCTAAGTATACAATCGTACATGTTAAGTATTGATGATTGGACATGCTCCAATGCATGCATGAGTTGAGTTAGTTTGGGTTTGGGTGTTAATGAGAATGATGCATGGGCAGGAGCATGGCCTGAATGGTTAAGGTGTGCTCATGGGCGCCCGTGTTGGACCCTTTGAGTGCGCGCCATGTTGGCCCGGGATGAGGGCGTGTGTGGGCAACCTGCTTGCGCGCCCTAGTTGCTATTGAGTGCACGCGTGCCTTGTTGGCTGCATGCTCGTGCACTTTACATGACCTTGAGTGCGTGTGCGCCAAGTCCCAAGCCCCACGCCGCATCAACACCTCCTATCACCCTTGCATGCACATCATGCCCACCAACACCTACCCAACCCAAGCACAAATACAAGTCCATGTTCACACCCTTGCCTACATATTCCCTCCAAAGGCACGCGTGCTAGCCACAAAACCCTTGGAGCTATATGAACATAAATTATTTATGATTTTTACTATAAAGTTCTATGCATTAGGATTAGAATAGAGACATAAGAAGTTTGAATCACTCAATTCTGTAACGTAAAAAATGTTTATTACAAATCAAAACCACTAATGTTGAACGAAGGAGATTTAAGGTCTGTTTAGAATAACTTTTACGTGGGTAAAAGTAACTTCTTACACCATTAAAAAGTCATCCCGAACATACGATCAGACAACTTGCAACTTCTCGATACGAACATGATCGTCAACCTTCAACATATCGTTGTAGTTTTCCAGTAGATGAACTCGAAGATGGTCGGATAGAGCCAACTTATCAACAATCTCATCGTGGTCTAATTTACAAACGAAATACAACACAGTCTTAGCCACCTGAGTGACCAAAAAGAACACCGAAAACGACAAGATCCAAATAATTACCAAAACACCCTTGCCCACCATCCCAATACATGTTGGTTGAACAACCAAACAAAAGAACACATATTGAACCACTCCAACAGGCAAACCCAAAGCCATGACTAACTTCTTAACCATTCTAACCTTCCCTTTAACCAAACCCTTACTCTTAGCCATAGCTTTAAGCCCACATAGCCCTTCCAAAACAGCCACAACGTCCGATAATTTCCATATTGATATCAAATAAAAAGTTCCCATGAAGAACATTATCAAGAAGATGAAAAGAATCACCACCAAGTTCTTATTTGAAACAACTATCAAAAAGACGACCAAACTACCAACAAAATTTAAGGCAAACAACGTCGCGTAATAACATAGAGACGTCCCGAGAACTGGCTTCCAAACATTCGGGACGACACCGATCACGTGCTTGAATGATATGTCACGTTTTGCATAGACACAGGCGACAGTGTAAACGACGGTGGCGGTGGCAATGACGGTGAGGACGGTGGTGATGATTATAGAGACGAGGTTGAAGACGAGAAAGTATATGGTTTGTGAGGCGAAAAGGATGAGTGCAAAGTTGGTGAAGGTTATGAGATAGGAAGGAAGAATGAAGAGAAGAGTGATTTGGGTGAAGATTTTTCTCCATTGGTATATCAATTTGATGGTTTCTATGATGATTCCAAAGACTCCTAAAGATTGAAGCTTTTGGAGGTTTGAATCCATGGCTTTTTTGGGGGTGAAAGAAGAAAGAAAATGGAGGAAGATATATAAGAAATGAAGGATGAAGTGATTGGTTGAATGTTCTAAGTTCATCATTGATGGGAATGTTAAACAATTATTTGATTTGAGAAGAAAATGATGCATAGATTATAATATTAGTAGATTCGTTTGAATATGAATATTGATATCAAATTATAAGTTTATATGTAACCGTCCTATTGCTAGCAGATATTGTCTG